TTTTTCTCATTGGTTTTACTTGACAAAAATAGGTTGATGATTTAGATTGAAAACAAATAAAAAATTTAAAGTTTAAATTGACAAAATTAAAAATTCAAGATTTATTATTTTGTTACAAATGTCAAATTTTGAGTTTTTTTTTTATGATATATATTTTTTTTTAATTACCCCATCAACTTATAGATTGGCATGTCCTTCAAGCTTATACTCTCGTAGTGTCCATGGTTGCTACTGTGAGTTAAGGATGCGGGGTCGCTAGAAATAAATCGTCAATTTTAGAACAGATCAAAAAGATATTTTTAAAAAAAGTGCTACTAAATATCCCTACTTATTTCCTTTGAACCCTCCACCTCTTTAAACCCCCACTCACGTAATTGAAATCCTCTCATCTTCTCTTGGAACCCCCATATTAATCCCAATTAAACCCTTGTTCTTTGAACCCCCAACTCTCCTTCTTCTGGCAACCGTTTCCACTAACTTTCCCTGGTCGGCTGACTAGGTAAAGTGGTCTCCTAGATAAAAACTAATCGGCCAGGGCAAATGGTGTCTCCACTTTTAAAGAAAGCTAGTAGTGTGGTGGGAGACCAGCAAATGTGGCCCAAAGAGCAAGAAAACCAGCTTCCCGACAAGAAAATCGGTTGGCGGGGAGAAAGTGGTTTCCAAGGAGAAAAGGTGGTCTCCCACCCTTGTACCACCTCCCAAACAAGGAAAACAAGGTTCATGCCAAAAATGAACCAACATGGATGCAAAACGAGAGTTCGGGGGGCAAAGCGCGCGGCCGGGTGCCCCAAAAACTGGTTGTTGAGCACCAAAAGTGGCGTACGGCCACAAAAGTGGTCTCCCGGGCCACAGTGTCCCTCTAGATAGAGGAAACAAAGTGTGTTCCAAAAACCGTGCCAAACGGAGAATGTTAAGCGGTCCCGAACCGAGGCGCACAACCGATGGCTCCGAAAACCAGAAACTAGTCTCCAAATGGGAACAGTGGCCTACGACCGTGAAAAGTAGCCCACGGCCACTGATAGATGGTCTACAAGACCTCTCCCTCCCTCCGGAAAGAGAAAACAAGACTTAGTCCGCAGACCGAGTCAAAGTATAAAGAGTCCCGAGGTTCGGAGGTGAGGCTCTCAGCTAAGAACTCCGAAAGCTCGAAACGAGCGCAACATGCGCAATCACCGAGCGCTCAATCGATGACGTCTGAGTCTTAAGGTCGGTAAAAAATGGGGTGTCTGCAGGGTAAATTTTTGGTGGGATTAGGAAAATAGTGAGGGGATTGAGTTTATTTTATATAATTTTTTTTATTTTTATTTTTTTGACCAAGTGCACTTGTTTGTTTTAATATTTTTTTAGTTTTTTTTAATATAGAAATAATTTATTTATTTATTTTATATCGAAATAATTTAACAATTCCATCATTAACCATTTCCTACACTATCATCAAAACAATCACACTTTTATTTAATCCCTCATTAACAATCTCTTCACTAACAATCTTGTCACTAACAATCCCATTCAACCTAATTCGCCAAACAAACGTGGCCTGAAGATCTTATACACAATACTTGACCAATTGAAAATCTGAATGACATATAACAAAATTTGTGTGTGTTTGTGTGTGTGTGTGTGATATATATTTGCGTGTGTGTGTGTGTGTGATATATATATATATATATATAAATTTTATACAAATTTTCAAAAGGAGAAAGAACTTATCCGCAATTGTACAATACATGGGGTGCAATTTATGCATATTCTTGGATCCACCATGCAATCAATAAAACTCATTGGCAACTCCATAGTCAGATTTTTGAAAAGAAAAAAATAAAAATAAAAATAAAAATGGAAAGAAGAAGCTAAAAAATAAAAATAAAAAAATTCTTTAAGGTGCATATATAAGCTATTGGGCCATAAAGTTTCATCCATGTTAGAAGAGATAAGACAAATAAGGGTACCTCCAATGTGATCAATAAGAGAAACAGGGGTACCTCTAAGGTTCATCCAAGATCTAGGCATTGTAATAACCAAATCATAATTGTGCGGTATCAGTGAATCCTCACAAACAAATCAAGATCCATAGAAGCATCACCTTTCATGTACATACAAAAATCTCCAACCAAGATTATAATGAAGTTCTTATACAGATTATAATGAAAGCAAAAGATATGTTTGCATTGTATATTGCACTGAAATCATACAGAATGGATAAGAGAATGAATCAAAAAGACTAGAAATCAACCTGCACATTCAATGTTTTCCACACAATGAATAAGGAAGCAACCTGGAATTGCAACCCAAAGCATATTAATCAGCAAAAATAAATACATTGTCCTTACTAGAACTAGCAAAAGTACCACATCGATCTGCAAAAGACAGTTTACACTAATGATATCTAATAAGAAAGCAGATTCACATATATATATAATCAAACAAATCAAAATCACTAATAATAAAACAAAATAGAAATGGCTTGCTTTAAACCTTGTTAATCAGTAGATCTAACAAAATGTGAGAGAGATCAGATCAGATCGAGTTCAGACTTCGATCAGATTAGATCGACTTTCTTGTTTCATTTCGGATCTGCGATTTGCGAGAAAGATCAAGTTTGATGAAGAACAGCTAGAGCGAGAGAGATTAGATTAGATCGAGTTTGGATTTCGATCATATTAGATTGGCCTTCTTGAAACACACGTTGATTATTGAGATATATCACTGTATTTTTAAAAATGTCTTGATACAAGCGCCATCATAGACAACTTTTCTTGTAGTGGCTATAGGCCTAAAAAACACCGCTGTAGGCCTAAAAAATAAATACAAGAACACATGTAAACTGCAATGAGCATTGAATCAGACAATATCAAGAAAGAAATAGTAAATTCTTGGTTGTACTTTTGAATTTCTGACTTAAAATTGCATACCCATATAACATAATAAATCATGAAAATCATGCCAAGAAAAGACAGTAAATTTATAAGAAAGAACATTCGTGTCTTACAAGACCAAATACTTTAGTAGCTCACATGGAGTCTCTGCCACTAACTTGGATGGATCATAATTGTTCTGGAATACAACGAAGGTAAGTTACAAAAAATTCTTAGCCAATATAACAATAAGCAAAGTGAAACCAAATACTCATCAAGAACTTAAAGCAACTAGAGAATAAGAAATTGGTTAAGAAAAATGAAACCAAATACGCATTAAGCCAACATCTAATCCCAAATATCTCAAGATTGTTGACACAGATTTAATCAATCAATCAACCAAACAAAAATGCACATTGCTTTTTGTTCGAATTTTTTGTATTGCATCTAAAAAATGTACTTTTTTATTCAAATTTTCGTTTGTTTTTTGTGAATTTATTTTTTAGTCAATTAAAGGAAAATTCATATAAAAATAGTTTTGAAAACCTTTTATTAGCTAGTATCCAAAAATTTCAACAAAAAATTCTAGCAACCAAACACTTTCAAAACCAAGCCAATTCAAACAATGGCCCTTCCATATAGCCCTAAATTTTACAAGCTTTCCTTAATCATCACTGTTCCTAGTCCATGAAACTACCTAATATAGCTCTGTGTACAGGAAATTGAATCAACAATTTTGGATCAACACAACACAAATGGCTATAACAGCTGAGATCACAATTGAAACAGTAAGAGTAGAGAGAGAGAGAGAGAGAGAGAGAGAGAGAGAGTTAGTTTGGGGAATGGGGGACTTACGTTCAAGGGTGATTTTCCTGAAGTCCATGAGACGATGAATTATAATCAGACTTGGACATGGTTAATCAAACTCCAAATTCTCACTTAATAAATATCGAAATCGTATGGTTTTCAGTCCTGGTCCCTGTCTTGATCTCGATCTATGATCTTGATCCTTCTTTACTCCTCGGTTTCATAACCTTGTGTTTGAATCGCATGGTTTTCGGTCCCGATCCCTGTCTTGATCTCGATCTATGATCTTGATCCTTCTTTACTCCTCGGTTTCATAACCTTGTGTTTGTGCAACTCAACCGGTCCATCTTCCTCCACAAAATTATTAAAATCAGAATCAAGAAAAACAAAAAATAGTCAAGAAATTTCAACCAAATCGATTCAAGAATTGATGGATTTGGAATTAGATATGAACAAGTAATCGAAATCAAACCTGGTGAATCTCTCAAGGAGCACGAGGAGAGACAGAGAAAACCCTAGATCTAGGACGATGAGAGAAAACGATATAGAGAGAAAACGAAATGACGGAAAAAGAAATGGAGACTGAGGGAGCTGGAGCACTGTTATAAAGTGAAATGCATGTTTGTAAGAGGGTAACGTGTGTCTTTTAATTTCACTTTATGTCTTCTACAACGTTTTTAAAAAAACGTTGTCTAAAAAATATGGTCATAGACAACGTTTGTTGTGGTGATTATTGTTAGCAGTAAATAATTTGTTGCGGGTGTGTCTCAAATTCAACCTGGATTTAGCTTATTACCACTTGGCGATTCACGCAACCCAATTAATGTGCAATTGGTGATGTTTGTTCCGATCCAGTATTTGTATTTGGGTCTATTTTGACTTGATTAGCTATTTTTGAATCCTTGTATATATTGGATCATTTCAAAGATATTACGGTTTAGATGACCGTTTGATAGATTTTCTATAACATAGGATTATTAAGAGAGAGAGAGAGAGAGAGTCAACTCATTGTAATTTTTATATTCATAGTAAAACACATCTTGTTATTATTTGCCCGTGTACATAAGCTCATAGCCCAAAGACATAAATCTTTGTGTGCTTGTATTTGTTCTATTTTAATTTCTTCTTATCTTCGTCTTTACCATAATAATAACAATGGACATATTTATTGTTACGGTGGCAATTGTTATTGTTGTTTATATTTGTATTACAAATATATGTGACTGGACAAAGAATACAATAAAACATATGTTAACTACAAAAGGGTTTTCATAAATACACACTGAAACTCAAAACTTGAATATCTTTCTATTTAATCTAGAAAATGGCACCTTCAACTCATTGACTAAAAATGCTTGGGCCATATGTAGATTTTATCATGTTTAGAAGGGGTGGTAATTGCAATGTTGCAAACAAGGCCACCGGTAGACAAGCCAATGTGGCAACTGGAATTAGAATCAAGGCATTTTCCTTGGAAAACACTAGATAGAGTGTGGCACTGAAGGCTGTCATCATGGTTATTACTGAAAGGAATAGCGCCAATAGGCCGATTATTAATCTCATTGGCAAGGCATACAGATAATCAATTACTGCATAGCGCGAAGTGAAAATTGACAAGAAGGACAACACCGTGGAGAGAGCTGAAACAAGGGCAAGTCCATCTGATATGGCAAAGACTATAAAGGCTTTTTTTTTGGAGAAAATTGGGAATCCATCAACTGTGCTCCCTCCTGGAACTGTGATAGCTGCTGCAAAAACAACTGTGGCAATGAGTGACGCTGCAACCGTGCACGATGTTGCCATGCCCATCATCCATTGCCCTTCATATGCCATCAATTCCTTGTGTTCTTCAATGAATATTTGCAATGGTGTCTTCCCATCACAGTTCTTGGATTTTCTTTCTTGAGGTAGCACAAACTTCTCCACTACCTGTATTAGTTCAGTTGACCATGGAATCACAGAGTAAGCTTGATAACATAGGATTATTAAGAGAGAGAGAGAGAGAGAGTCAACTCATTGTAATTTTTATATTCATAGTAAAACACATCTTGTTATTATTTGCCCGTGTACATAAGCTCATAGCCCAAAGACAAATCTTTGTGTGCTTGTGTTTGTTCTATTTTAATTTCTTCTTATCTTCGTCTTTACCATAATAATAACAATGGACATATTTATTGTTATGGTGGCGATTGTTATTGTTGTTTATATTTGTATTACAAATATATGTGACTGGACAAAGAATACAATAAAACATATATTAACTACAAAAGGGTTTTCATAAATACACACTGAAACTCAAAACTTGAATATCTTTCTATTTAATCTAGAAAATGGCACCTTCAACTCATTGACTAAAAATGCTTGGGCCATATGTAGATTTGATCATGTTTAGAAGGGGTGGTAATTGCAATGTTGCAAACAAGGCCACCGGTAGACAAGCCAATGTGGCAACTGGAATTAGAATCAAGGCATTTTCCTTGGAAAACACTAGATAGAGTGTGGCACTGAAGGCTGTCATCATGGTTATTACTGAAAGGAATAGCGCCAATAGGCCGATTATTAATCTCATTGGCAAGGCATACAGATAATCAATTACTGCATAGCGCGAAGTGAAAATTGACAAGAAGGACAACACCGTGGAGAGAGCTGAAACAAGGGCAAGTCCATCTGATATGGCAAAGACTATAAAGGCTTTTTTTTTGGAGAAAATTGGGAATCCATCAACTGTGCTCCCTCCTGGAACTGTGATAGCTGCTGCAAAAACAACTGTGGCAATGAGTGACGCTGCAACCGTGCATGATGTTGCCTTGCCCATCATCCATTGCCCTTCATATGCCATCAATTCCTTGTGTTCTTCAATGAATATTTGCAATGGTGTCTTCCCATCACAGTTCTTGGATTTTCTTTCTTGAGGTAGCACAAACTTCTCCACTACCTGTATTAGTTCAGTTGACCATGGAATCACAGAGTAAGCTTGACATGTTTTGGGGTACATGTTGGCGGAAAGCTAACAATTACGGGCTTTAAACCCGAGTGTTGAGTTTGGCTGACCCCTGGGTTTGGTGCTTTTCGACAACTATTTTTTGTTTTTAATTGGTTTGATCTGGGTAGCCTGGTGGGTCTTTGTCTTTCCTACAAAAAAATCTAATTGTCCTAATGATGATTTAAGGTTTCCACTAGATTTTTACTCACCCGAATAATATAATCTATTTAGCTATAGTTGTACAAGGTCACTGCAAAAAATAATATGAATCCACCATGGATCATGCTTTAGATGTTTGATGTATCAGGAGCTTAAAACACAATCTGAACAAAATGAATCAATGTTCCACTCTTTTTGTCAATACAATTTCTTATGTGAAAAGAGTGGCCTTAACTGTTATATTTGTTTGGTTGAGTTTCAAAACTTATTTTTTAAAATCTTTTACATAAAAAATATAAAAAAAAAAGTTTGAAAAAAAATAAATACCAAAACATAAAATATTGAATTTTCAAAAAATTATTTCCTCTAAAAAAAAAAGGAAGTCATATGAAAATAATGAGTGTTTTTTTTTAAAAAAAAATTTGTTATTATTTTTTTAATAAATTTTTTACAAAACTAATTTTTAAATTAAAAAAAAAAAAAACTGCTAGGTGAAGGATGGTAGGTGGTGGTGGGTACTATTCTTGTGCCTGTATTTATGTTTGACCCAATTAACTAAAAGCAAACTTTGGAAAAATGAAGAAATATGGTACTTCCTAGGTGGATTTTTGAAAGAGATTTATTACCTTAAACCATTGTAATTCACGCTGCATTTGTAGAACTGCCCCAGAAGAGAAATCGAGGCGTTGTTGGCGAGCCTTATATCCAACCAAATGGAGCATATTATTTCCATCATTGTCTGGTAACAAAGATAATAAGAATTTATATTGCCCACTTCGCTGATGCATGACCTTGAAAACTTTTTCATGACGGTACATAACTGCGAGATGGAATGCAGTGTGGTTTTCTTCATCTACGAACGTAATTGCATCGGGAAATGAGTCCAAAATTTCTTTGACAATTTCATGAATCCCATACTGTGCTGCTAAAAGGAATGGCAATCTAAGTATGGAGGAAGCTTTTGTGTTGTCTAGACCTATAACTTCCCTGCATATTCTTTTGACAAGATGAATTGCTTGATGATGCATCATTTTTGTCTGACCAATTCGGTTGATTGGTGGCACTGCAATTATAATGAACTCTTTTTTTTGTCAGTCGGTAGGAGATTATTTATAAATATGAGACTATAATGTTTTGATCAAATTATGTGAGCATTTAAGTGGTTGCTTTATCTATCCTTACCTGATGTTTCAAGGACTTTCCATAAAACTACATGGAATTTTTGCCACACTACAAACAACAAAACCAAGTCAGGTAAAATTGGTCAATACATACTGAACTGCGGTTACCTATTGGGTTTTTCGAAAAATAGTTAAGAAAATCAAAATCATTGAGTTGCAAATGAGTAAAAAAAATGATTCCACATACCAAAATATTTATTTGAATGTGACAAATTGAGTTTGAGAGAGTCAAAAAATGCATATATCATTAGAGCAATTGATAGTGATTTTTGAAAATTCTCTGACTACGACACTCAATTCCCAATGATTGATACTCCAATACTGCTTAGACTCCGTAACTAGTTCTTTTTGTAATTTTTTATTTTTAGTTAATAAAAGGGTAATTTCAAATCTAACAATCCCAAAGTGATCCATACCGTTTATGATGTGGGCCTCACACATACATGAGTAGGTCCCACACATCATGAGTAATGTGAATTACTTTGGGAGTTGTGGGGTCCTCCAAAAAGGAGTCTCACTCATTTTTCTTTTAAATCAGTGATTGTTTGGTAATATATTTTTAAATTAATGGTAAACTTATAAATATTAAAAAGTAAAATTATAAAATTGTAAATAGTTCTTGCAGATACCTCTGGGGTGTAAATTTCCCTTAATAAAATCTTTTCTTTGCTGATCAATTTTTTTTTTCTTTGATATATGTGAAAATGTAACTATGCATGGCACAACCTTCCTCGGCCAACTCAAAATCTCAATTGAGATCTCGAGGGAGAAAGCTGAGATGAATAAAACCATAGCGAGAAATTTGAACCAATATTGGACTAGATTTTTGGCAAATCTAAGCAGTTCTAACTTATTTCTCAAATCCATGGTGTTTTGTGAAGTGAAACAACTTCAATTAATTTATTATAATTTGTTTTTGAAGTGATATTTTAAAAAACACGACTTGAAGAAACAACGTGGATTCGGGTGCATGAGAACAGTTTCTGTCTAAAAAGGTTGCAAAATTTGGTGTAAGAGAAGAGGAAGTATTCTTCACAAACCTGATATTAATTGCTTACAGCCAAAAATTGGAGCACAACAGCGCCTATGGTGTGGCACTTGAGATTGATCATTTCCTTGATTGGGATCTATTAATTTCAAAGGGACACCTAGAAAACAGAACACACAGACCATTCAAATAATCTAATTTTCAAAGTAAATTTTGTGCGTCTTTTCTCCAAAAATAAACAGTAGCTGTTAACATCATAAAAAAAATAGCCGAAGGCTTCTCTCCAGTCCATAAGTGGATTGAGGGTGTCGTTGGCCCATGGTGGGTCTAGACCGGAGTCTATTTTGATAATCCAAATCGTCTAATGCGTAGGGTATATTGAATATATCATTATCGTAAAAAAATTATATTGATCGGATATCGACAACCAATTGATCAGATCCCATTTGTATTTATAGTTTATTTTTAAAATCATACTTCTTGTTAACACAAACATAATCTGATCAAGTGACTATTGATATCCGATCAGTATGATTTTTTTATAAGAATAATGTACTCGACAAACCCTACACATTAAATAGTTTAGATTATCGAGGTCGACTTAGAATAGAGCTCACCATAAGCCAATGGCACCTTTCAATCCCATTACAGACTATACAGAGCCAAACTAATATTAGTGACTCCGTTTTTTTTTTTACTTTTACGAAACAATATTTTTAGTAAACAATATTTTCTTATATTTAATTGTGATTTTGAAACTTATGTGTTAATAATTATATTAGTAATGGAGTTAGTGGTGGTGATGTGGTATAGGTAGTGGTGGTCACGTTCAGGGGTGGCCCAACCGTTTTCGTGGCCCAAGGCAATATATTAAAGTGAGGCCTTTTTAATATTTAAAAATTAATTATAATTTTTAATATTTTATTTCATTTAAATTAAATTTTATATTTTTCTGATGCAAATTATTAAAAAAAAAAAATTGTAATATGCATTTTTTTTTTTGTTTGATAAAATGAACTAATCCATAGTCTTTGTTGTGACCTAATTTATCTTAAATACGGTTAGATAAGATTTTGGAAAATTTCTTTCGGCAATAGTATTGTTAATAATATTTTACAAAAATGTATGTATTAAAAAAAGATCTAGTTATATATATATATATAATATAAGCAAATACGCAATTAGATGTTTGACGCTTGAAGTGCAATCCTTTTGTTTTTCATTTTTTTGATTTTTATAATTTTCAAAATACACATGTCAATCTTACAATTAATCTAAAATCTAATTGTTAGGTTTTTATAATTGACAATCCCGTTTAACAAAACTCCTTTAAGTGAGAATGTGAGTTCTTAGATGCGAATCATACTCGAATTGTGCCTATGCAGAAGAGTTTGTGATCTTGATCATTTCATGTTTGCCACTTCGCTCCGAAGAAAAAAGTAAAAATGTAGTCGAAATTGTTTAACTGCTCGAGTGGTCATTTGTGCACTTGAGCGGAAAAAAGGATCACCTAGTATTTTTGCAAAGCGTCTGAACTTCTGGGAAGCAAGTTTTACCACTCGAGCGGTGAATGTTGCACTCGAGTGGTCAGCCTATATGTTTTATATCGTCTTTACTCATATCGCTTGAGTGGTGAAGTGTACGCTCAAGCTGTTTTCGTGATCCAATTTATTATAAAGTGCGTTTTTTGCATGTTTTAGGGTTTGAGCTGTCCAAATTTTCTGAGAAGAAGAAAAAACAAAGCGTTTTATATTGGAGGGTGCTTTATGAGTGTTTTCTTGGTGGTTTAAGAGTGATTAATAAATCCATGAATTTTATATCAACATCGTCAAAGGATTTATTTGTTTTCTTTTATTCACAAAAGAGAGAGTTGTTTTTTGGTGAATTTTGGGAATCTTGTGCCTGAAACTTTGGTGGATTTCAAAGTGACTCATCGTCGTGGATTCGACATCAGCGCTGTGGATTTAACGTTGGGCAAGACAATTCTGAGGTGAAGACGGTCGTAGAAGAGGCACATCGAAGTCAGTTCAATTCAGGCGTGAATTTACAAGGTAATTGAGAGTACATATGTGTAATTTTTTTGTCTTCTTATTGGATTATTTTGTAACTTCTGCCCATAATTTTTTTTTATCACAATTGGAGGCGCTCCAATTGTGATTTTTTCATATTAAATTGTTGTGTCGATTTGTCTTTGATTGTTTGATTGAGATTATTATTCATTGTTTAAAATTGAAACATAATTACAAATCAATATCTCAGAGAATTTATTTATTTTCCACTAATTTAAGTAAATTAAATAATATAACAATAGTTATGGAATTACAATTACTTAATATACCATAATAGAATCAATAATTAAGGACATGACAAAGACTTAATTCAAAAGACTTTCTAATTTCTCTCAATTTTTCTGAATTTGTAATTTTTATAATTTTTAGGGAGTTGTTGTGTCGATTTGTTTTTGATTGTTTGATTGAGATTATTATTCATTGTTTAAAATTGAAACATAATTACAAATCAATATCTCAGAGAATTTATTTATTTTCCACTAATTTAAGTAAATTAAATAATATGACAATAGTTATGGAATTACAATTACTTAATATACCATAATAGAATCAATAATTAAGGACACGACAAAGACTTAATTCAAAAGACTTTCCAATTTCTCTCAATTTTTCTGAATTTGTAATTTTTATAATTTTTAGGGAGGCTTACGTGTAGGTCATAATAGGTAAACTTATTATCCAATAGGTCCTATGATAATTAATGGCATTTTTCATCAAGACTATTAAAAAACGTAGCCGATTGTTAATTTTCAGCGACAGTTTGAAAATTTTGTCACAAAAATATCACTAATTATAAGTTTTAGCGACATTTTAAAAAAATCGTCACAAAAAAAGAAAAAAATTATAATTTTCAATTTTCAACGATAGTTTGAAAAATTCGTTATAGAAAAACGTCACTAATTGTAAATTTTAGCGATAATTTATAAAAAATCATGACCAAAAAAGTTACTAATTGTTAATTTTTAGCCACGTGTAAAAAATCGTCAAAAATATTTATTTTTTGTAACTATTTTACTATGACTTATTCTCAATGGGACTTGATAAGAATTAAATCCAACTATTAGGACATATTGACAATTTATCTTAATTTTTAAAATACACATGTCATCTTACAATTGGTCTAAAAATTAATTTAGCTAAATGAAAATAACATTTAAATGCTCCTAATGAATTCCAATAGAATAACAATAGTTATGAAATCACAATCACTTACTATCATAATAGAATCAATAATTATGAAAATGATAAAGACTTAATTCAAAAGATTTTTCATTACCTTAAATGCTCACATGTTTTTCCTCTACCTTTGTAGAGGGTTAGAAATTAAACCCCAAATTAAGTATGGGCCAAAGTGCTGAGGTCGTCCTTCTAAGGCGACTAGGAATGAAAAAGGAGCATGGGCTAAAGCCCAAGGAAAGTGGTCCAACAGTGGGTCGAAGCAGGTCTGACACGCCAAGGGTCCAAACAGACTCCACGAAGAAAAATGCCTAAGTCAAGTTACAGAGGCAACACATGCAGCGGTAGAGTTGCTGAGGCACTTTGCCTCAGCATCGCCATTCATAATATTGTCGGTTCTGCCGCCATCTGAAGTTGTTGAGGGAAAGTGAAAGCTGAAGCAACTAAGTTGCAGAGGTATTACTTGCAGCAATCAAGTTGCTGAGGCACTCTGCCTTCGCTGCCATTTCAAGTATTGTCGGTTCCGCAGCCATCTGGAGTTGCTAAGGGAAGGAGAAAGCCGAAACAACTAAGTTGCAGAGGTAGTACTTGCAGCGCCCAAGTTGCGGAGGTATTTTTTCGGCGCCGCCGTTTCTAATATTGTTGGTTCTACCATTTAAACCTACCACGGGAAACAACTGCTGCAACAACTACAGTAGCCGCAACTAGTATGTAGAGGGAACATCCCGCCAAGGTGATAGCAGCCTTTGGGAGAAGCATCTCCTCTGCAAGTAGAGGCTAATGCTAGGCGCTGATAGCAGGCCCCAAGGCATTACTAGCCTAGGGCTGGTAGTAGGCCCCAAAGTTCATTAACTTGGCGCTGATAGCAGGTCCTAAGACTTACTGGTTGGAGCTGATAGCAGGCCCAAAGATATTATTTTATCGTGGCGATCTTGCGAAGATGGGAGCTAGGCAGCTCGAGTGTAAGGGACTCCTTTTCCATTACCCAGGTCATGGACCTACCTTAGTCGCATACGCAGGACTAAGAAAGCCCCGTTGGGCTTGGTACTAAGGCACAACATGGCTAATAGCAGGCCTAGTTGTGGCCTTTGCCCTGGAAAGCTGGGGAGCTTGTGGTTAGGTGGCTAAGGGTAGAGGTTTCGCTGCGGTGAACACGAACATAGCCAATAGCAGGCTAATGGAATCCTGAGAATGCATGTACTGGATAAATAAAACAGAGAAGGCAAGTGAAGCAGCAAGGTTTACCGCTGCAAGTGCACTTGTTGAGGTTCGAGCTGAGAAGGCAAGTGCAGCAACAAACACTCCCGCCGTAACTGCACTTGCTGAGGCTCAAAATGGGAATTGCAGTGCCAAGCACGCCCGTCTCAACTACACTTGCTGAGGCTCGAAAAGGTAGTTGCGGAGGCAAACAGATAGTACACAGTATATGCAGAGGGAAATGTGACACCTTTAGCCTGGTGGCTCAAGTCAGAATATTTTGTGTGATTCTTGGGGACACCTGTCTTCTCTCTATTTGGCCACTTGGTGTCCTCTTGATACCAAGGAAAAACCTATAATAGGACCCATTGCCTAAGGTCCAAAGAGAGGAATTTTGAGGATGTGGGAGAGACGTTGCCCATTTTGGCACTGCCATTGTCTTCTTCTTGAGTTACCTGTTTCACCCTCACCTAGCTGCACACTCTCTAACTACCCAGACAGTTATTGTTGTTCATCTTCTAACCATTCCACCACTCTTGGACTATAAACATAGTTTTGACTCTCTAATCATCTTCTTAACCTCAAACCCCCTTACATTTTTGGCGACTCCGCTGAGGAGGTTGCTTTGTTAATGGTTCATACCCGCAGTGGTTTACACACTTCACTAGAAAAAATGGCAGAGGATGAAGTTCAGCAACCCCCATAGTAGCAAGGCTCT